AACTTTGACCGCAAAATTCTTGGTCTTCCCGTATGAATTTTTGCAAGAAATTTTAAGGGTAGGATCACCTCGAAGAGATCTATCCGATGCTGTAGACAATTTTCCGAACGGAGAACGTTTTCCAGCGGCGGAGGTGGCGACCGTCGGTGGCGGCGGCCGGTGGAGGAGAAGGAGGTATTTGAATTTTTTCAGTCGGAACTCCGCTTGACTTTTTTACGGGTCCCACTGACGGCGCTAATGAAGTGAATATATTTCACCCGGGCTCCTTCAACTCGAACCGGCCTCCATACCTGCAGAACCCAACGCCGGGGGTGGCCCCGGCGTCGGGCCTCCGATGCCTAAGTCAGTGCTCAGATCAAGAGAGATAAAGAGTGTAGTATGGAATGAATAGAGAATGAAAGAATGAGATACCTTAGCCCCCTTTTGTAGGGGGAGTGTACCTTTCGGGCCCAAGTTGGGCTTGACCCATATCGCGATGCCATATGTTTTAGTCCGTACGTGGACTTATCCTTAAATAGAAATGCTCCCCTACCCGCAGTGGGCACATGTTAATATACCCACCGCGTAGGTGGCATGCACTCATAGGTAATTTTAATATGTTAAAAAAAATACTTCACCAATGAGCGCATGCCACCTACGGTGGGAATATTAACATGTGCCCACCGTGAGTAGGTGAACATTTCTCCATCCTTAAATACTATTCGTTGTAGCCATTAAACCTGGTCTAGTATAATATCCTATATCAGCCTCAATTTAAGCATCTGAGCCCAACAATCTCATGCGCCAGACATGCATGTGCATTAGATAGTTTATATAAATAATATTCAAATTTTTATCCAAATGGACCCAACTTTAATAGAAATATTGTACTTAAATCATCGTATTCAATAAATAAAAAAGAAAAAAGCCGAACAACTTTTCTGATCGGTCTAGTTCAGTATTATAAATTGTTTTTTTAATACTTTCATGTCATTTCTATGATTATATCATTGCATCAAATTTTAGTGGGAACAGACATAACGTTTAAATTTTGATAAAATGGAACCTAATCTACACAAAAATGTGAATGACCAACCTCTAGTATACCTTGTGTAGTCTTCCAAATTTGGAAAGTTAGCCGGATGAAATTATGTGTTTAATTAATGAACAAGGCTGCACACGGGATTTTAAGGCCTATCGACATTTAGGACAACTGCATCTATTCCTTTTTTAAAAAAATAAAAATAAAAACTCAACTTTTGTTTCTTTCTCAATTCTCAATTTTTACTAAATTGATAAAATGTACTGATGTAGAAGATGTATACGAACTGGAATTAAGAACGCAAGAACAATTTTCTACCTCTCAAAATAATAATACGATGAATGAATAACAATTGTTCAATGAGTGGGTACATATATGAAGAGCCCATTAGTCAGCAACTTCATAATTATTTAATTAACTACTCCACTAATAAAAATAACATAAATGAAAACTACTGACAACTAATAAAGACCGGGAAATAAATAATCTAAACTCGAAAACGCTCATATTTTTGCAGAAACACCAACGTGGCCTCGTCTCTATCATGTACCCTGAGTGAAAGTTTGATGATGAAAATATAGATTTTGTGAATTTTTTTCTCATATGTATGTGTGTTGTAGGAAAGATCTGATTCGGTGATTCTGACAAGTGTGTGTTGTACATAGATATTGAATGCACTATGGACCAATCACTCAGCCCAAAAGTAGCTTAGAAAACTAATGGGACAACAGAAAACGAGACAAAAATGATAGTAAATGGATTTTTCTTCCCAGTTAATGTTATTTAATACTCCTTCCTATTTTTTTTTTTAATGTCATTCTAGCTTTTTCAATTTTTTGTCAAATAATTGTTGTTTTGGATCTTTTGTACATATTTTTTCATTATTACCCTCATTTAGCCAATAAATGCATTACATCTTTTCATATTCACTCTTCATTTTTTTCTCAAAACATTCATCTCTATCATCATTAAATAGAAGGTTATTATTGACAAAAAAAAATCTTAATTAGTGTGCAACTTCTCAAAACGACATATATTAAAAATAGGAGGTACCGAGGTAGTCTACTATACATAGATTAGATAGTAAAAAAGATCAAAATGCAATCTTATTTAGACAATAATGCTAAAGAGCCAACAGTTAGCTCTGTTACGGAGTCAACAACCAATGAGACAACTCCAAGTGGGGCTGTCCCACAATACTTTAATGTGAGACAGCCCCACATGGAGTTGTCCAATTGGTTGTTAGCTCAACAACGGAGCCAACTGTTGGCTCCTTAACATTACTGCTTAATTTTGAATTTGATGAGTCACAACTTTTGGGCTTCATGTAAAGTTTGAATTTAGACCTCTTTTTTATTCAGGAAGGTATCTGAAAAGACACTGCAAAGTCCAAACGACACTCAATTATCCGCCATATATTATAGTTTGATTTTGATTATTTATTCAAGTTTTCGTTCATATTTATTTTTAATTCAGTAATGGCTGGAAAAGGTGAAGGGCATGCAATCGGGATCGATTTGGGGACCACCTACTCGTGCGTGGGCGTGTGGCAGCACGAGCGTGTCGAGATCATAGCCAATGATCAAGGTAATCGCACGACGTCGTCCTATGTCGCTTTCGCCGACGGCGAACGTCTCATCGGCGAAGCTGCTAAGAACCAGACTGGCGTGAATCCCGAAAACACCGTCTTTGGTGAGCTGCTTTCTTCTCCATTTTTTATTTTTGTTTTATTTTTCCCTCGGAGATTTTGGTGATTATATCCGGCATTATTTAACGTTTCAACTCGGATAATATATACAGTTAACGATTCAACTGTGTTGGGTGATGCAGACGCCAAGCGGCTTATCGGGAGACGATACACAGACGCCTCTGTGAAGGCCGACAAAAAGCTGTGGCCGTTCAAGGTTGTCCCAGGCCCCACCAACAAGCCCATGATTGTTGTCTCCCACAAGGGCAAGAAGAAGCAGTTTTCTCCTGAAGAGATATCGTCCATGGTCCTCACCAAGATGGCCGCCATTGCCGACTCCTTTCTGGGCCCCACCCCCATTCGGGATGCCGTCATCACCGTCCCCGCCTACTTTAGGACTCTCAAAGACAGGCCACCAAGGATGCTGGTGCCATTGCTGGCCTCAATGTCATCCGCATCATCAACGAGCCCACTGCAGCCGCCATTGCCTATGGCCTCAACTACAAAGGAGAGAAGAAGAATGTGTTTGTCTTAGACTTAGGCGGTGGCACCTGCGACATCTCCCTCCTCACAATCAACAATGGTACCTTCGAGATGAGGGCCACCGCCGACGACACCCACCTTGGCGGGAAGGATTTTGACAACCGCATTGTCGCTCACTTTGTCGCTGAGTTTAAGCAAGTATGGCAAAGACCTCTCTAAAAATCCCCGAGCCCTTCGGAGATTGAGGACAGCCTGCGAGAGGGCAAAGAGGACTCTCTCGACCAACACTCAGACCACTGTGGACATTGAGTGCCTGCACGAGGGCATTGATTTCCACTCTAGTACTAGCCGTGCTAAGTTCGAGGATCTTAACATGGACCTGTTTGAAAAGTGCATTGAGCCCGTTGAGAGTTGCCTGAGAGATGCTGGGGTAGAAAAGACTGCCATCCATGATGTCGTCTTGGTTGGCGGCTCAACCAGGATTCCCAAGGTTCAAAATATGCTGCAGTTTATTTTTTAGGGAAAGGAGCTATACAAGAATATTAACCGGATGAGGTCGTTGCATACGGGGCTGCTATGCAGGCGGCCGTCCTAAGTGGTATAGGGAATGACAAGTTGCGGGACATCGTCCTCCTTGACGTGACCCCTCTCTCCCTTGGAGTAAACACTGCCGGGGAGGTCATGTCTGTCGTGGTCCCGCGGAACACGACTATCCCCACCCAGAAGGACCATAGATTCACCACACATGAAGATAACCAAACAGCTGCGGATATCATGGTCTACGAGGGCGAGCGGGCAAGGTCAACAAACAACAACTTGCTCGGGAAGTTCATACTGAATGGAATCCCACCTGCCCCACGGGTCGAGCCCAACCTTGATGTGTGCTTTAGAATCGACGTAAATGGGATACTGAGCGTGTCGGCCAAGGAGAGGTCAACGGGCAATATGAACGGGATCACTATAACCAACGAAGAAGGGAGGCTGTCGAAAGAGGAGATTGATAGGATTGTGTTGGATGCTGCGAGGTACAGGATGGAAGACGAAGAGTTTAAGAAGAGGGCCAAAGCCAGGAGCAACCTCGAAGATTTTGCTTATGACATGAGGAACACTGCCAGGGCTGCAGCCGGGCGGTCGGCCGAAAGGAGAATGGTTGAGGAAGTGGCGGTGTCAGTTATTGAGTGGGTGGGGAGAATGGGATGCAGGCCGGTGTGGATGAACTCAACCGTAAGATGAGGGAGCTTGAGTTTGTTTGCAACCGTATTATAAAAGTGGATATGGAGTCCGACTACGACTCCGATGGATGGTAGTGTGGTTGTTTGCTCTTTTTTCTTTTGTCGACATTTAGTACTTTGGTTAAGAATTTTCACGTCAAAACACTTATATCATTTCTTGGTATTTTGGGATTCAACATGTGTTTGGGTTCTTCACCTAACATGTAAGGTACTTATTTCTACGACGAGCGTGTGATCAATGTTGATTTTATGTTATTAATTTTCCAGTAAGCAAGTCTTTTGACCATTTTTACTATGCAAAGATTTTGTCAATTAAACCCACACTGCACACGACTTTCCAGCAGATTTCGACAGAATCGAGCTTTGCTCCGTGATGTTCATCATATTTTCATGCATTATGAGTGATATAGTGTGATGTTTGACCGTGTTTATTGTGGGATTGCGCACCATTTCGTTTGATTTATTAATCTATG